GTGGGAAAGACAAAGCAGAAGCTCTGCTTTGCCTTGGGTGTCTTCCAAATCTTTCTTCTTGACTCTGTTTCCAAGAGGGCCCAGAATCACTCGAGTTTCACATCTTTGTTGGCTTTACAGGCTCTGGAAACCTACACACCAGTGCAAGCTTATCCAGATTTGTTCCAGCACTAAAGGGAATGGGGAGTTCCCCAGGCTGCTGCTGACACTACAGAAGCCTTGGTTTAGGGTACCTGGTTGCCATCAGTCTCTCTGAAGGTGTTTCTGTTCTTGAGGCAGGCACCTCTCCAGGGGAGATGTTTGTTTTACCACTGTGGCTCTTAGTGTGTAAAAAGGGAGGGATGCATAAAGATTTGTGGCCATTGGAGGATATTTCCATTCTCTTTTCAGGTAGCAGAAATCAACAAAGCCTCCAAACAAGGAGAGTTGTTCTCGGTCTTTGGGTCTGGAACTGGTGGCAACAGCAGCTTGGAAACAAAATCTGGTTCTGCAGCAGAGGAGGACTTCCTCCCTGCATCCCAGGTTTACTCAGTGAGTACTGATGGGATAGACAGGAGGGAATGGGGTGTTTTGTCTTTCTGGTTTTTTATTAATTTATCTTACATTCTTTCCATGGTCACAGCCGTATATTTCTATTGTAATTGCTTTTCCCTGTCTGCCTGTCATGCTGGTTGCTATTAGTGAACATAATCTATGTGCAGGCCATAGGTTAAATAAGTTCTTTCTCATCTTGCTCTAACCAAGGATGGCTGTTTCCTTACTACTACTGGGAATTTAACCTAATCCCTTTCCCTCATGTCTCAGTTGGTGGGTGTGATGATAAGTCAGATTTAGAGCCTCCCTCACCTTACAGCTGTCCACACTGGTGTATTGCATGCAGAAACCTCGCTCCTTCAGGGTTCTGCACACAGGGATATCACATCCAAACTTTCTTCTTCCTCCTTCCTGCCTAGTTCAAACCCAAGCGTGTGGTGGGAACAGGATTTCCAAAGAAATCCAACTTGTTCCAGACAGCCTCAGAACTGCTGAAGATCCAGGAGGAGAGTGATGCAAAGCCTGTCAAAAAAGAAGTAGATTGTCCAAATGGGCAAGACAACAGCAGCTGCAGTCTGGAACTGGACACCAGAAACACTGTTGTCCAGAGGAGAGAAACAGCAACCAAAGCAATGTGTGAGAGTGCTGTGGTAGAAGTACACCCTGAAAAGAAGGGACAGCAACCCAGTCCAGACACAAAGGCTGCCCTTTGGGAGAGCCCCACTAAGAAGTCCAAACTTAGCAAGAAGCAGCAAATGCTCGCAGAAGCAGCTAAAAAAGAATCACAGGATATTTCCAAATTCTTCTTCCTCTCCAAAGGTGGCTCTAAAGCCAAAAGTTGCAGCTCAGCAAAAGAAGAGGGCTGTTCTGCAAGCACACTACCTCAGGTTTCTTCTCAAAGCACGTGTCAAGAGAAACCAACACCTCAGGAAAGCAGAGATGTCTCTGGAGGTCTGACTGGACAGTCCCAGGCAGAGAATAAAGAACTGAGAGAAACAGAAGTAACACAGACTGAGAAGGGGGAGGATTTTAAGACCCAGCAGGCTGCTGAATCTGAACTTCAGGAAGAAATTGATGTAAAGTCCAGGTAAAATCTCATATGTCTCTGCTCCCTGTGTTGCCTTGTTAAGCTGCTGAGTCCCACCAGCCTTGTCCTGGAAACTGGGAATCTGTGTGAGATCTCTGGGTGGGTGAGGGAGACTCCTGCTTTACCATGGAGGGTCTCATAGCCACTAACAGTGAATGCAGGGATATTTTTCTTTGTGGAATAATTACAACTGACCTTCTCTCTACTCTTCCCACTAGTGTTGCTGAAAATGTCTCAGAAACTGAGCTGCCTGTGGCTGGGGAAGGTGAGAGTGGGAAGAGGGCAGGATCAGATGAGGTAAGGCTTCAATGACAATGAGTGCTAATTTCCTCTATTTCTTCTGCTCATCTCCTGCCAGATTTCTCTCTGAGAGTGATGCTCCAGCTCTGAACCTCACCTGAGAGTGTATTAATCTGGGGAGGGTCCAGCTGCAGTTGCACCAGAGAGGAGAACCCCAGTTGTGCTGCATTTCTGGTGTTTCCCTGCTGCCCACTGGGCCATGTCAGCACCTTGGGCTGCAGTGGAGAGCTTCCCCTCCACTGCTTTGTTTCCTCCTGTGTGCAACACATGTGACTGTGCCCTTGCTGGTGACTTGGCTGGAATGAGTCTCTCCACCCCCTCTAGATCTGTAATGAACTATAATTAGGAGCTGCTTTCTCAAGTCCAGGGAACAACCACAGGCCAGTGACACACGGGACCATTTGGAAGTGACCCATGCTCACAGCCTGCCTTGCCCTTCAGTCTCTGCTTCTGCATTTGGCATCTGAGACTGCCTGGCAGCTGTCTCTGCAACAGTGCAGTCTTCCCTCTGTCAAACTGAGCAGGCATGTGGCACTCCTGACATGGCTCAGTGGTATTCACTGCAGGGAGATCCTGCAGGATACTGCAAAGATTTGTTGTCCTGGAAGGCAGTGGGTGCTTGGAAGTGGAAAAAACTGCTCCAGGAATTGGTGGGTTTGATTTTTTTTTCCCTGTCTCCTCTCCAGGATATGGAAAGTCCTGCAACAAAGCGGCTGCGGACAGCGGCAAAATCTTCTATTCTGTCCCAGCCAGAATGCAGAAGTGCTGGTCCAACAAAGAAGAAGGTGACTTTTGATTCAAACTTAGAACAGTGTGACAGAGAAGGAACCAGCAAGACCGTACAGCCAGTGACCAAAGGCGTGTCCCTCAAAGACACTGCAGACATCGTTGTCAAATATTTGACCCCGTTCTACAAGGGTGGCAAATTTGCTTCCAAGGTAGGGTACAGCTCAAGACCCTCTTTAGCAGAAGGAGATTGCAGCTCATAGTGAATCTGGGGCTCTGAGGAGGGGGAGATGATCTGGATACCACATTTCATTTCCAAGTTGAGTCTTGGTATGTGCTGTTTCAGTGACTCTAGGTGCAGGAACTCACCTGTCCCACAAAAAGGTTTGTGTGTGTTTGGAGTGGTATCACGTTGGTTCCACACTTATTTATGGTTGTTCATGTTTTCACATTAAGCTCTGGCACACCTTTAACTCCCACCTGTGGAGCAGCAACAGCTCAGGTCCAATTCTGGTGTAGTTTCCTTGATGTGTCCTGCGAGGCAGGCTGTGTGTGCCAGCACTGCAGGTGTGCAACACTCCTGCAGCCTCAATCTAGGAATGGTCTGTGCTGCAGCTAGCCCGTGCTGAGGGCAAGACAAACATGCAAACAGTCTGGTAACTGATGTCTGCTTTCTGCTCTTTGTCTTCTCTAATTCTGCAGGAGCTGTTCAAGGGCTTTGCCCGGCACGTGTCTCACTTACTGACCCAGGAGCAGAACCCTGCCCGCAAGACAGGTGAGAGCTCGGAGAGCCTGGGCTTCTTTCAGTGCCAAAGGGATGGATGTCTTTGGGGAGGGCAGATGTCTTAAGGATCGACTCAAAGGTGGTGTTTCCTCTCTTGCAGTGAAGGAGGAAGCACAGAGACTCATCAGGGAGTTTTTCAAAACAAGGGTCAGGTGTGAGAGTGAGGCAGACTGGCAGGAGCTGCAGAGCTGAGAGCTGATCTGTGCATCCTGGTGGTTGTCTTCCTTCCTCCAGCAGCGTGACCAGGGGATCTTGAAGAACTCTGCCATGGAAGGTTTCATGAGACTGCAGAAGTGAGATTTTTTTTTTTCCTCCCACTGCATTTTTGCTCACTTCTATCCTTAGTGACAAACAGTTCCAGGAAACCAGTTTCTGTGAACTTAAGAGTTTCTCCAATAACTGGGGCACTGGAGCCCTTGAGGACCAAGAGGTGTGAAGTTATATCTGCTGTATTTGTTAGGGGCTGCTGCCTGAGATGTTTTGCACTGTCTCCACCTCTGCTCCCTGCAGCAGTCTGGGAAGGGCTGCTTCTCCAACTGGGACTCTGCTTTGGGATGGCATCTTGCTTCCTAGATGGCTGCTCCCCTCACTCCCTGTCTCTTAGTTCTTATTTCAGAGTTACCAGTAGAAGCCTTATGCTACATGTTCTTATGCTTTGCTCAGGGCTGCCAATGACAAACTCCATGGTTGAGTTCCTGGCTGGAATGTTTTTCTTTAAAGGGCAGGAGGGGAGTGCTTTGTTCTTATCATGCAGACAATGCCTATTTTCTGAAGGTGGAGAAACGGGAGTTCTTTTAATATGAACTTTTTTTTAACTTTGTCTAGTTCTGTGTGCCCTTTAACGTAAGTGGTGATGCTCTTTCAGTATTAACCTCAACAGCACTTTTTCCAGCATTTTCTTGTAACCCCTAAAGCCATATTTGCCCCCTGTGCCTCACCAAAAGTCTGCAATACAGAGGGCAATGCTGCTTTTAGAACTGGTTCAGGTACTGCTGTGGCCCTCAAATTGACACTGTGGTGTCTCTGCTGCTATGTTTATATGGGACCTCACCTGATTCCCAGGCACAAGTCCTTCCTGTTGGGTTTTTATTGGGTTCTGCCTTTGTTCCATGCCCACAGAGGCTGGTGGCCTCAGGCACTCGTGCTGCTGAGGAATCTGCAGCTGAGAGGCCATCCATCAGGCTTTTGGAGCACTGTACTCCACAGATGTATTTTTTTACATGTACTGAAGTATATGCAGAACTGACAATAAAATAACGTTACAGCTGCTCTGGACTGTTCCTGGAAGCTCTTTCTTACCACTCACTCATACAGACTGGTGTAAGATCCACTAAGCAGCACTTGAAGGGAAGTACCTGACGGAGAAGATGCTGCAGTTCCTGCTGGAATCAGCTCACCAGCAACAATCCAGCTGTGCCTCATGTCTTGCACTGAGCACCCTCAGATCCATCCCCTTCCCTGCCAACAGGGACAGCCTTTTTTCCTCAAGCTTTGCCTGTTACCTTCAGGTCAGTTTTCCCAGGTTTAGATGCAAGATCTGTCACACCACACCTTCAAAACATATCTGTGATTACTTTATTGCAATTTCCTAAAGGGCAATAAAAATAAATTAGGCATTTTTGTACAACCCAAAACAGTCTACTATAATACAAGTCCTGTTTGAATATGCTTCTTCCTCCATGGGCATGGAGCCATCACTGAAGCCTGACAGCTGCATGGACATGACTGACTCCTTTGTAGTAGAGGGAAGCAGATGCATATAATTATGTCAGTGAGAAATTAATTAACAATAAACTTTCTTATCATTGCAGCTCGATCCACGCCCCAGCATATGTGCTAATTGTATTATTAACACTGATCTGCTTTTCAATTAAGGTGCTTTCTATAAACTCCTGCTTCACCAGTCCTGCTCCAGGGCCTTATGCATATCAATGTAGAGACAAAACTGGCCTCTGGAAAACACCAGCAGCCAGTGCAGGCATTGCAGACTCAGCTGGGCACTGGGATGCACAAATCTGTAGCAAAGCACCAGGCTTTGCTAATGTTAATTAATTCAAAAAAGAAAAGAGGAGTTCCACACTGCATTGCTTGAAGGCAAGTGCTTGCATTGGTTCAGCTGCTCCTTTTTGGAACTCTGGGGTGGAGAGGGCCTTGTGGTTTGTTTGTCCACAGCATGGATTGCTTCAAGGAAGTACTTGGGGACTGAATGGCAGGTCACCAGGGGTGAGATTATTATCCAGTCCATCAACAAACACTGTGGTGACAGCCATGGAAAGCAGCTGTCTGAGGTCGTGGCTGTCTTTTGGAAGTGTTCTCTCCAGAAGACAGATCAGAGAGCACTAATCAGGTTCAAAGGAAGAGAGGCACAGCTGCTTTCCTTGGTCATTCTCCTCCTTTTGGGCTCTAGGAGTGGAGCTCTGTTTTGTCCAGGATGATGACAAGTGTGTGGTACAGTTCTTTAGCCTGTCAGAACACAAATCAGCAGCAGTCATTCTTTGCCCCAGAAACAGCTGCCTCTTATAATTAAATATTCCCATAAATCACCTTCCATAATTAAATATCAGGTATGTGCTGGAACAAAGCTGCACTTTGGAGCCTGGGAAATGCAGTGACCCCCCTCCCTCCTTCTCTGGAGCAGGAGAGAGCAGGAGCACTGCCTCAGCAGTGGCTTAGCTGGGCAGTGGAGGGCAATTCCTGAGTTGCCAAGAGGCAGCTGCAGGCCCAGGCTGAGCTCACCTGTTGCAGTTCAACCCACAAAGTCTTGGGGGTGGCAGGTGATCCAAAGTTCAGCTCCAAGCCGGGAAGTCCATCTTTGAGCATGGGCTTCAGGGTGCGCATCTTCTGCACCTCCTTCAGGGGAATGACCTGGGACACGGCCTGGGGGGGAGAAAAGCCACAGACCACTCTCTGGTGCAGTCCTTACAAACTAAACCATCTGATTCTCCATGGGAAGGAGTCACCTCAAGATCCCAGTGAAAGCTGAGCAAGGTCTGGGGCACAGGGCGGTGTGTGCAGAACACTGGGCAGGCTCCTGCTGGCAGTACAGCCCTGGAACTGCCACGGGACTGGGACAAACAGGAATGTGACACAGTGTTACTGTGGGCTGTGCTTGGTAGTGCCCAGGCACTAATAGCTGTTCATCATTCTTGACCCTTGCTTTCTTAGAGTGGCTGTGATATAGAGGAGTACAGCCTCTTCCTGCACAGGTTCTTCTAAAAGTCAAAGTTAATACCTGATAGACACCGTGGGGAATTGTCTGACATACCTGGGTGGTGCCATTCACCACAATGATCTCCTCTTTATTCACACCAAGGAAACAGGGCACAGGGATCTTGTTGTCGCTGACTCTCTCCACCATGAACATGGTGTAGCCAAAGAAAGGCAGTTTCATCACATGCTCTGTAAGAAAGCAAAAGGTGGCCTGAAGGGAGCAGCTTCCAGACAGCAATTTACTACACCAGCCTAAGGTGGTCAAAACTGCCAGTCTTCCCAAGCTTTTCTACATTAAAAAGTGAGACTGACAACTTCTCCCTCCCCACCAGGCTGCTGATGCTCAATTCTCAGCAGCCTGAATGGATGTGCCATTCTTTTCTGACCAGAAAACAGATGTGCAGCCAGAGTGTCAATTAAAACACAACTTATACAGAGCTTTGAAAATCTGCTGCAGAACTGTGCAACAGGTGGAACTTCTATCCTGGTCACCGTGCTTGGGAACAAGATCCAATCCACAGTGAGAGCCTGTCAGGGAGTTGTACTGCCCATTCCAGGCTCCAAGAATCCTTGACAACCTCATGAACTGTCCCCAAAAGGGTGTTCAGAGCAGTTTCCATCATGCTCAGGATGGACAATTGAAGCAGATCTGGATCTCTTCTCACCTATGAACTGGATTTTTGCATCCAGTGGCTGGAGGGGCTGCCTTGTCCTCAGCAATGTGGCAACCTGGTTCTCCAGAGCCATGGAACTGATGGAGTGCTGCAGGGTCTTGGGGGTGTATTTCTTCAGCTCCTCCCTGTGCCAACAAGAAGATTCTAATTCACCCCCTGCCCAGCTAAAATCAAACATCAGCTGGGGGATTAAGGCAACAAAGGGGATGAGGCAGCAATTTTCAATCGTATGTCTGAGGGGAAGGGTGAAGGGGGAGAGGAAAAGCACAGCAGGTTGTATCTGCACTGGATCAGGTGGAAGGAAATATCAGAGACGGTGAGACCAGCATTTTCCACAGAGGAATCAGCTGTGCACCACTGAGCAGTGCACAGAGAGAAATCCATCCTTTTCTGGAGACAGCAGGAGCTCTTCAATGCCCAGCAGGGTTATGCCATTTTCCCTGCTGCTGGTGCCTTAAGGGGATCTGATAGAGACATTAACCTCAACTCTGAGATGAAGTGCAAGGGATACAGGAAGCAAAGAGTGTGAATTTACACCTTAGGACTGCAGGACAGAAGCTTTCCGGTATCCAGGGACAATTTTCATTCCCATTTCATTCCAATGAGGCATCTCATTAGAGATTTCATGTGCCCAGCATTGAAACCTCTGGCACTTGTGGGAAAGAGCAAAGGAGCATTCACCCAAACTACAAGCTCATGCAATTCTTTTTGGTATTACAAACCCATGGCAGTCAAATGAAATGCCCATGGCACCCTCATGACCCTCAGCTCAGGAGGAGTCCCAGAAGGAAATGTGGAGCAGAGATTGCCAGCATTAAGAGTGTGAATGGGGGTAAGTATCTTGACTGGGGGCAGGAGTCAGTTGCTGCATGACATTAATTAATAACTTATGTTCTCCAGAACTGTCCATTCCTTAATTATCCAGAAGTACTTCCAGGCACCTGTTCCTAACCCCTGTGGTGCCAACATCAGAGAGGCAGAGACCCACCCTGACCCAGACATACCCGGAGGGAGCCGAGTTCTGCTGCTCTGGCTTGGCCCAGTGCTGGAGCATTGCCAAAAGGCCCACCTGCATCTCCATTTCTTTACTCTGGCTCAGCAGCATCCTCCCATTCAGGTAATCCCACAGCACCTGAGAGACAGCACAGCAAAGAGGCCTTTGTTAAACCTGACAGAAGGTACGGGCAGGTCTGGGCAGTGCCAGGCTGCAGAGACCCACATCCTGCCTTCCCGATGATGACACATCCCACTCGGGCTGATAACATGAAAGCAAAGGCTGGCTGGGCTCAGGAAGAGCCTGTGGAGCTGCACAAACCACGTGTGGAACAGCCCAGCTCCCAGGCTAGGCCCACAGGCACACTGCCTTCTGTGCATCCATGCATCCATCATTCCCAGAAACACCACACAAAGCTGATCAGCCAAAGCCCTCCTGCTTTTTCAGCCCCCTTGGGACATTCCCACTGGCCTGAATGCAATCCCTACCCCTGTCAGGGAGCCCTGGGGAGGGCCCTGCTGCCCTTACCTGTCCATAGTGGACATCTGTGTAGATTTGGTTCTCGAAGTGCAGAGGTGTCCTCCAGATGAGCCTGCGCAAAGTCACGGTGACCATCTTGTCCTCCAGCAGGTAATCATGGAGATACTCCTCTGGTTTTATTGGCTTCACTATTCTACCTACATGTTACACAGAGAGAGGGTCATCCACCCCTCTTGGTGCTGAGGCAGTGGGCTGAGCACCACGGCCTGGAACGGTTCCTGCACACCTCTGTTCCACTCTGCCCTTACAACTCCAACCATCAACCATTCCAAAGGGACACGGACCCACACGCCTCTTCCAGGAACAAGCAACACAGACCCTGAGAAGGATCAATCCTTAACCCTAATACAGAGGGAAACTGCTTAAGAGGAACCTCCCAGGAGCCAGGAAGGGTGGGGGAACTATTCAAAGCCAGAGCCAGGGTGCTCCCTGTTGCAGGGACTACGTTAGGAAGAAACTCGATGCTGGTCTCTACTTGCCAAGATTTTTGTTGTCAGTCCTGATAGCAAAAAGAAAAAAGTCCTGTATCTCTTCCTGTTCACCAACTCCCATCTGCTCACAGATCTCCTGCAAGAGCTCCTTGGCCACCTGAAGCAAGGAAAGAAGAAAATGGATACCATGACCAGGCAATCCTGCAGCCCCAGAGCAGGTAGACACGTTATCCCTTGGCAGATAAGGGATTTCTCTGGTGTGGCTCAGAGTTCAGACCAAAGAAGAAAGTCACAGCTGGAAACCCACCGTGAATGTCTTGATCCTGGTGACGTATTCCATGCCCCCAGGCATCAGTATCACCAGCCGGCGGGCACCGTGCCCCTTCTGCAAGGGACAGGCTTTGGGCAGCAAGACATGCAGAATCCCACCAGCCCCTCCCTCTTCTTCCTCATCTGTGCCTTCCACTGCTTCTCCATTGTACCTGCCCATGTTCCTGCTCACTCCAAGGCATTGCACTTCCCAAACCCCTTACATCCACATGATTCATTTCCTCTCATGGAGCACTGACTGCCCCTGCCACACCCACATGGCATCTCCTGGCAACCCTCTGCCCTCCCCCTTCCCATCCCTCCGTACCAGCAGCGCCTCCATCTCCACAGGGAAAGGAAGGTTTCGGCGGCCCCCGTACATGAAGGTTTTCCGCAGGTTGCTCTGACAGATCTTGGCTATATCTGCAATAAAAGCGAAAAGCTCCATGTGCTGAGCTAGACAGAGAACTAAACATTGTGACCCTGCGGTGTTGGGTCATCCTGGCTGTGTCAAATTTAACCCTTGGTCACTGCTAGGAGAGCAAAGACCTCAACTCCCACTCTGCCAGGCACAGACAGCACCCAGGACAGCAGGAGAACAGAGGAATGACAGGATGGGAAGAATTAGAACTAGAATGTTTGCTTTATAGGACACAGACAGTCATACCATGGTGGGTGCTGGATGGATCACTGCTGGCGAGCTGCAGGAACTTGGTGGCATAGGGCATCAGGATTTTAGTAGGGAGGAAGTATCCAGTTAGCAGATTCAGGACCAACCAGCCACGCAGCATGCTCTGCCTGTGGAACAGAAAGGACTGTGGCCACTCTGGGACAAGACAATTCCTGCTCCTAGCAGCTCAGGCTGAGCCTCTGCCCTTCTGAACACCTATGGCAGGTAGCAGAAAATGGGGTGGCAGCCCTTGGTCAGAGGTTTCTTATGCTTGAGCAAGGGATTGATTCAGTCATTCTAAGACAAAACAAAAGAGGACAGTCAAGGCCACTCTGATGCCACTGCTGCCATTTCACAGGGCACTGTGGGGTCAAGCCAGTCCCTGACTGTTGTATCAGTTCCTCAGGGCTGGGAGGAGGAAATCAGGGCTCTGAGCAGCACCACTACCAGGAGCTACCAGGGATGTTTACTGGGGCCCAGATATATCAGCAGCCAGAAAAACAAGGACAAGTGTCCACTGAAATGACAATGTCAGCCCCAGTGACTGGCTACATTTCCTGAGTGCTCAGCAAAAGCCTCAGCATTGGAGCACTGGGGACAGCATAGCATTAGGGGACACCCTCTCTGCTGGCCATGGTGTCCCTGAAGCAGATGGCTCCTCTCCAGCTGTGCATGCAGAGGAGCTGCCAGTGCTGGTACTCACTGGTTAGGGTTGTGGGTGACCTGTTTGATGACTTGGCAGTAGACCTCATCGTGCAAATGCTCCTTCTCCTTGCACAGCTGCATTCAGAGAGGAGAAAACAACATCAGAGAGGGCATGGGAGCATCAGAGAGGCCCCCAGGTCACCTCTGTGCCCTTCCTCTTCCAGCTCCAGAGTTATGCCAATTTGGCTTAAAGCTCGGGCTTTTCAGCCTCTGGTCCCCAGTGCTAACTAGACCCAAAGAAGGAGAGAGGAGAGCGAGGTTGTGCTCTCATCCAGACAGTGATATCCAGGGAAACCATTTACAGGAGGCCCCTCCCCTCCATGTTTTCAAATGAGTCTCTTTCAGCTCCCTTTCTCATGCAGGAGTTCCATTATGGCTCTCCCTTCCCAGCAGGGTCTTGGCCCTCTGTTCCTGCTGATGCTTCAGAACTCTGCCCAGGGAAAGGTCACAAACCTTGAGGATTTCGTAGGTGCATTCAACCTCAGTCTGGTCCTTGTGCTTGGACTGATCCCCCATGAGCCGCATCAGCGCTGCAGGGCAAAGGCTGACATTGAGGTCTAAGCAGGGGTGGTCCTGCCATGGGGCTGGCAGAGGGCTAAAAACTGTCCTGAAAGCTTTCCTGCTCCAAGGTTTGCCTCGGACAGGTGTAGTGTGTCCACAGCCCAGGCAGGGTGTGTTCTTGGACACTTTGCACTCCAGGCAAAGTACATCTTGCTGGACGCTTTCAGCAAGGACACAGGTGGTTATTAACTGCAGAAGTGCCTTAGGAGGGGCCCTCCACACACAGGTTTCATTCCCCACTCAGCCCCACAATGGCTCTGTGTGCCCACCACAGCATCCCACTCAATCCCCAGCCTCTGCAGTGCTGTGTCCCAGGGAGGTACTTACTCTGGAAGTTCTTTGTAGCCAGCTCATTCAGCTCACTGTCAGAGTACAGGAGCAAAGACTCCTGGATTGGGACCTGCAGGACCAGAGAACAAGGATGACCTGGGGAGGTGGATCTCACAGAGATCTGCAGGTTTCACCCAGGACTCAAGCTCCCAGAATCTCACAGGCAGCACTGAAAAGTAGGGGACACCTACACTTCTCCAGAGACTGCAAGCCAAGGATCTGCCCTCTGGGGACAAAGCCAGAGGCAATGCTGGAGCTGAGATTCTGGCTGTAGCCACGGGGAGGGAGTGGGCTCACCTTGGTGTGCCGGACCAGGCCAGCTATACTCTTCTTTTCAGCAGACATCCCCTGCAGTCCCTGCCTAGACAGAGGAGAGGGAACATACAGTCCAAGAAACACCCCCAGAAACAGCCTGGTGTGGGTCAGGCTGTGCAGGTCCTGCGTGTGCCTGTTTGGGAAGGACCACAGCCTACTCACATGGACTGAGCCTCCCGGAAATAGGCTGTGGCAAAGTCAATCATGGTATAACGATCACCAGCAGGGACTAACATCGTGCTGTCGGGTTCTGATGTCAGGCTGGGAACAGAACTCTGCAGGGACACCACAAAACACACCCTAAAAAGTCAGCTGAGGAACTGCAGTGAGTTCTCACCTGCCAGACTCCATCTGTGTGTGGTACCTCCCCTCCCACTATGATAGTATTTGAGTGCCTCTGTCTCAGAGGATTAAACAATCATCATCTTCCCTCTGGCCTTGGAGCTCCCACAGAACTCAGCCATAACCCCTAGATGCCCCCCAAGGACAGCTCACCTCCCTGCTGGTGTTCCTGCTCTGTGGGGAAGATTTCCTTCTCTTCCGTAGCTCTCCACGTCTGTCCATGCTGATGCTGAGGTAATCAGGGGCTGCAGCCAACTGCACCAGGTTGGTGGGGAAGAGACCACAGCGGCCACCAGTGCAGCCAAACTGCCAGCCTGCAGAAACAGGGGCCAAAGGGTCAGGAACCATGGCAGCTGCCAAGAGGAATGGGCACTGAAGCTTCCTACTGGCAAAGGAGATCGTCAGACTCACCAGGGTTTCCTGCATCCTAAGGTAACATTTACACCCCTGACACTAAGGCAGCTGGAGCAAGGGGGGTCACAGGCAGAGGCTCAATATGCCAGCCTGCCCTTAAGAGTCTGTACTGCTCTGGTTCTGGGCACTACGGATCCAGCAGGCCCTTGATCCTGCCAATCTCAGCCCCCTCACCTGGCTCCACGCCTTTCATGGGCAGCAGCTCAATGAGGTCTCCCTTCTTGAAGCTCAGGAGGCTCTTGTCGTCCACGACGTAGCTGCGCAGAGCAACGACGTAGTTGGTGTCCTGGGGGAAGGCAATGGGGAGGTCAGGTCTTGTCCCAAGGAAGTAAAGGACTAATGTCATCCTTTGGACACTCTCAGGTCCACGTGGGAAACCACCTTCATTCCCTACTGCGCTACAGCTGCTCCCTCACCTGCCTCAGCTCCTGCATGAAGAGTTCCACCATGGCCTTGATGCGCGGAGCCTTCAGAGAGTGCAGGAAGAGCTGCTCTGTCTTCAGGGAGAACTCCAGGGCACTGCTGCCCTTCAGCTCCACTGACAGCACGTCTGCAAAGCTGAGAACACAAGCCAGTGTGCTCAGGCTCCTTCTGCCAGAGCCAGGGGTGCAGAACGTGGGGATGGGAGCTCATTCCAAGGACTGAGAACAGAGACATGCCTCAGCATGCTCCATGGTGACCTTTCACCAGCACTGTGTTCCAACATTAACAGCATCACAGGCTGTTCATGGCTTTCACCCTGGCACCCTGAGGAGCTCCCTGTGATGACACACATGGAGCTGACTCACCCCCAGCACTCACTTGTAGGCAAAGCACAAGGTAGGAAGGAAAAGGAAAAGCCAAACTCATTAGAAGGAGGGTCAGTGAGTCATGGCTGGCCTAGGACAGTCCTAGAGAGCACAGCACAACTGGGAATCTTCAGCTCAGCCGTTCAGTTTGCCTCCCAACACCCTGCAAGTGACAAACTATCACCCTGCAGCAACCAGTGCCCTTCTGCTCACCAGTAGCTGCGAAGAATCTTGAGGTGCTCAGGGTTATACCCAGCTGCTTTCTCCACCTTCAGCAGCCGAATGCCCCGGTGAGAAACACCCAGGACCTGCACATCACTTCCCTCTTCACCCTGTGAGAGAGGTGTAGAGAGAGTATCAAAGGCTCCACCCACCTGGCCAGGTGGCAGCAGGGGAAGGAGATGCCACACAAGGAGGCCCTGGGCTGACAGAGGTGTCAAACCCTGCGAGTTTTGGAAGGTGCAGAAGGAGTGATGTGTGGCCAGGCAGGGAGACAGAAAGAGATCCCAGGTCAATTGGAGCCACAGCTAAAGCAAACCTTGGGTCTAGTGAGAAAATTAGGACTCACATGAACAGGGAAGAGGCGGGAGAAATAGTTGGCCCAGTTATCCCGAGCAGCCAGTACAATCCTCTTCTTTATTCCATCCTCCTTAATGGACTGGACATCGTTGCCAACCCGGAACTCCGCTGGCAGGGTTACAAAGCAGATATTTGATCGGCATGGCAAAGATGGCTGAGATTCCCTCTGCCCAGGGACTCACTCCCACCAGCCCCCCCTCGGTGTTCACAGCACAGAAAATGACATGCAGAGGTGAGAGGACACCACGTTACTTGCACACACCAGTCTACCACTGCTTTCCCTCCCCTTCTTCAGGAAGCTGCAGTCAAAGATGCCAGTCGGATTTTGAGACAACTCAAAATCCCATCCTTGGGCTTCATTTTCCTCTCCCCACAATAAACATTTCAGAACTAAGCTTTTCTGGCTCAGAGAAATGTCAGGGCCACTTTCTGGCCATCTGGAATAAACGAACATTCCTACTCTGCACTCCACAGCACATACAAATGTGCTTTCCTGCTGCAGTGACAAACACTGCTCCTCTGTCTGAGGAGTCCTGTGTGAAAGGGCTTGGAGGCCAGTTTCTCATCTCAAACCAGAAGCTGTGATGGGCACAGGGAGGAAGGGATGATGGGGCTGTAATTACTCAGCAGGTCTTTCATCTTGCGCTTCTCCTCCTTGGAGATCCGAAAGCAGGAGTCGGAGAAGGTGTCACGGATGATCTGCAGAGGAAGGGAACAGAGAGGCTTCCATTGCAAAGGCCACATCTGACTGTGCTGGAGCATCTGAGGCTGTTAAACAGACTGAGACTCGGAGAGGAGTGAACAGGGGCTTGACTGGATGGACCTGGAGAAGAGACTAACCCTGCTTGGGATGAAGAAGTGAAGGCAACTTATGCAACGTAATTACAGAGTGTTTTGTCCCCAGAGAGACAACAGGCCTTGAGCCAAACCTGTCCACACAGGTGCATACCTGTTCACACAGCAAGTTCAGGCAGTAAGGGTGGCTGAAATTTTCTTTGGGGTAAAACACCTGCAAGAGGAGGATAAAAAAAACAGGGGTGTTACAAAGGTTGCAGAAATAGCTCCCCAGGGATGTTTTGCAATCCATATGCCCTGTTGCCAGAGAGGAGCAAGGATAGGCGAGGGAAGAGACACCGTGAGTGTGAAAAGAAGGACCAGGAGCAGAGGACCAAAACCTGAGTGGTGAGACCAAGGGATGAACCCTGGTCAGTTCAGTGTACTCTCCGATACTTGATTTTAAACACACTTGTACTAATTTAACAGGAAAACACCAGAAAACAACAAAGTTTAGTTTTAGATTTCTCAGTGCTCTACAGAGGAGGAAAGGTCAGGTAGGGAAACTGAGACACAAGTGTCAGTAAGACAGGGCAGGACCCAGATCCCCCATGACATGATCCCCTGCCCCCAACTCCAGTGTCTGTGACCTCCTCAGAGAACTATCTTTGTGTTCTTATCTTACACTGGGTGCCTACAAAAAACACACTCTAACCAAAGGTGGGACAAGTTCCCTCTCCTCCCCAGCCAGCCCTCGGCTCCTGAACTGCACCTCTTTGCGCAGGAAGATTTTCCAGGCAGGGTCTGCATAGGAGAAGCTGACGCTGCTGGTGAGTTTGTACAGCTGGGTCTTGATGCCATCGTCACCTGTTACTGTTACAGCAGAGTCTGTGTGAGGAGAAAGAGCAGTGAAAATGGGCCTTAAAGGCTGCAGGGTCACCATTCCACCTGCCAAAGACCCACCAGGAGAAAGGGGACAGGTGAGAAAGAGGACAGTGCCTGCTACCTGATTGAATATTACTGTCAGGGACCCTCCTGAAGGTCAATGACCAGCTGGTGTGAGCACAAACCAGACATTATCAGCATTTCTGACAGCATTTACACTTCCTGTATTAGCCACAAAGTTCAGTGTTCATAACATAAACACTCCAGAGACAGGGAGCACTCAGCTTCCCAGGAAAAACAGCGCCCCTGTGCTTGAGGTTGAAGGCACAGGTTTCACTTCACATCACTATAAAAAAGCTGTTACAGGTTTCAAAGGGACATAAAAGTTCTCCCCTGAGCCTGCAGCCTGCAAGGTTCTGGTACAAGGCTCCCAGTACTAGCACTGGGTTGTCCCTCTGCAGATCTATCAAAGGCAGGCTCAGTCTGAAGGCAGCTGTTCAAAGCTGTTGCTTTATGAGGTAGGAATGTCTTCATTTAAGCACTTCAAACTTTCAAAACTTCAGAGTTCCTAGACAAGAAATGTAGTAAATCCCATAGTTCAGCTGTTTCTATGTCCCTGTGCAAAGGCACACAGGGATTTTTCAGGCTAATCCAGTTACTTCAATTTACTTTCACAGGACTTGCTGAGGAAACATTCTTTTAAAAAGAGAGGGAGCAAACAGGGAAATTCTTTAATACCAGAGAAGTTGCTGCAGGATGGAGTCCTTCAGTAATGTGTTTGGCTGACTGTTCCTTGCATGTTACAAAAGGGAATGCTGATGAGAGTTTTAAACAGCTTGAAATACATTGGTACAGGTATCCAAAGTACAAAATGAATTGTGGCTCCAGACTCCCACTGAAATTCAGAGGCAAAACTAAGGCTGGATAACACTTCAAAACTCCTGCTGAGAAGCACTAGCTGTGCTTTTTTTAAGAGGGCAACATCCAAATGCTCTTTATGTGGCCAAGTCCAAGGTCTCTCAGGCTGTCATTCTCCGAGAAACATTCCCTCATTCCTCAGCCTCTCTAAGGTCCCTCCAGAGGCTCTGTCAGATGAAACACCTGGCTTCCCATTCCTCCCTGGTCTAAAGTCCATCCCTTAATTGCTACTTTGATAAAGCAGTTATGCTTCAGGTAGGCAATAAAAAGTATTGTGGACTGGACCGTGACAAAGCCCAAAGGATCTTTCTATTTTTAGCTGTATGTTTCAGAAGGGAAGAGTTATTGCAGGGAAGTGCCAAGCTGATTACTGGGCCAGACTGGAACTGTGACATCTCCCTGATTCCACACAGTTCTGATTGCACAATCCCCCTGGTTTCACACAGCTGACTGATGACAGAACACGTGCCAAGACTCTCCAGGGCCGCTGGGCTGATTCTAACCCCATCCCCTCTCTGCCCTGCTGCCAAATCCCACGTAGGTGAAGTCAGTACTCACCCTTTCCTGTGGATTCCTGCTTGCCTTGGTCCTCAGGCTTTAGAGGTGAAGGCAGTGCTGGGGGAGTAGGGGGAGCAGGAGAGCCCTCAGATGCTGGTGGGGTACCATCTGGCCTGAAGATGGACAGGAGAGGCAACTGCTTCTCCTTGATAGAGCTGGAAGCTGAGCCTGGCTTGGGCTTGAGAGGTGGAGGTATTTTCTTCTCTTGTGGCACAGGAGATGGCTGCAAGACAGCAAAACCATTTGACCCAGCCTGTCTCTGCATTCCTGTGCTGTGTCCTGACACTGCTGTTATAAATCATCAGCACTCCATCCCTGGAAGCAAGATCTGTGTGAACAGGGACACCAGGACCTTTAAATCAACACACAGGCTACAAAGAGATGAAGACCAGCCAAACCCAGAGAACCAAGTAGTTGAGACTGAAGTCTCCAGTTCCCTTCTCCAGGAAGGAAAAAGGATGATAATGGGCCAAGGCCTTGATGTCAACTGTGAAGAATATGAATTACTTGCTTCCAGATCAGCCTTAAACATAGTCCACAATAGGACTTGCTGCTGCAGATCCTTTCCTTCAGGATCTCAGGTGGTTCTTCAGGAACCCAGTTTAGGATGGGCAGCACCATGGAATGAGCTCCCAGCTATCTGTTAACCCAACAAGAAATCACCTGGCTGTGGCTGCACGACCAGGGAGCTCCCAGCCTGTTGGAGTTTGGATATACAGGCTCTCTCTGCTGAGCTCTTAAGGTGACCAGAGAGCAAAGAACTCACTGATGGGTGAGACGAGGGGTTCATCATTCCCAGCTTGGCCAGAGCCTCATTTTTGGGGTCACTCTTCTTTATAAAGGGCTTGGGTACTTTCCTGCAAGGAAGCAGGGAAAGGAGTTACAGAGGCTGCAGAGGTGTTGTGGCCACGATGGAGCACGTGGCAGTGCTGAGACACAGTCCCATCATCCCCTCCCTGCCCAGTGGTGGGTCCCTCTCTCACCTCACGGGCTGGATGGGCTGGGGCTCCGGGGCCGGTCGGCTCTGGTACATTTTGATGATGTTGCCGATCTCGCGGCTCGGCGTGGGACGCGACTCGGGGCCTGAAGGCTTCACTACAGGTGGCTCCTTCTTCACTTTTGGCATCTGCTTTATTGGCTTTGGCTCAGCAGATGGCACAGGGGAAGCAGGAGCTGTTGGGGTGACAGCTTTAACCAACAGACCAGCAAAGGCACAGGAGAAATCCCTTTGTCTCATCTGAAGTTCCCTCCCTTTCACCCCGAGGCTGACTGGCCGTGGCCTTCCACTGCCTTGCTTTTGGATCCCACTTCCCAAAGCTCAGGAATTCCTCTCTCTCTTCTCCTGCCAAGATGCAGACTCCCAGAAGAGCCAGATCCTTTCCTCCTCTGCCTATATCCTGGCCTGATGTTCCTGGAAAGTTCCTGCTGGTCAGCATCTTACCTGCCTCTGGTTTGGGGACAGGCTTCACTTCTTTCACCTTCTGTTCCTGTTTTTTCTCCTCCTCCTGCTCTGGCTGGGGCTTTGCTGGTGGAGTCCAGGTTTTGGTAGGAGGCCTGACTTTCTTCACTCGGATGTATTGCTCTCCTGCATAGAAAAGGGAACTTGAGCTACTTAATACCACACTCAAAATCTAGCACTGGTGGCACAGTTCCCACTCTTGCCTCAGTCAGCAGAAACCTATGTTTTCTAGAGGTAAAGGAGTGTGTGGCAGTCACAAGCCCAGAGATTTCCAGCAGACTGTCCCCACAACACCTCACAGTGTGAATTGTAGCCAGCTGAACAAGCACCCGAAACTCCTGTTACACACAGTGCCAGCAGCTCCTGCCAGGCATGGCTGGTTCCAGACAGGGAGCCAAGAACACCTCGTTATGCCAGGGAGGCTGCAGAGCAAGGTGTTATCATGATGAGTGAAATTCCCAAAGTGGTAGATGCTCACCCATCTTCTGGAAATATTGTCTCTTCTGCTGGAAGGTTTCCCGAGGAGAATCTTCATCTCCACTGCTGGAGAACTCATCTTGTTCGTAGTCATTACCCTGCAGGCAGTGCACAGCGTGGTTAGTTGGCACTAACCAGCAGGAAGGAACCCCACAGTGCCCTTCAGTTCAGAGGTGATCCCCTCTCCAAGTTCTGACCTAGAACTTGTCCTCATCTGGGAGTGACCCAAGAGATCAGTTTTTTACACAAGGAATCATCAACCAAACCCGGAGAAGAGGGATTATGTTAGAGGACCAAAGCAGCTTGTTGGAAGATAAAGATCTCAGAGTAATTAATCTTCCTGTGGAAAAACTCTGCTCAGCTGGAAATCAAATTACCCATCACTGCAGCCCAACCTCCACAGAGCAAATGCCACCAAGGTCTGACCCTGTGCCTTAAAGACTCAGCAAGCAGAGTTTGAAAGGCCTCAGAATCATTGGTAAGCACAGCTCTCTGCTCTCCTCTCCTCTCCACCAAACCACGGTGGGAGGGAAGCAGAGCAAACACCAAACAAGAAATTCAAACCAAATTCACCACCACTGTTTGTTTTTCATGCCTTAGCTGGTGGTTCTGAAGACTCTGGTGGTGTTGCAGCATCCTGGTTTGTGGAAGGCTTCTTGGGTTTTGGGAGAGTGGCTGGGGGTCGGGCTTGTGGTGGACTTGAGGCTCTTGGCCTTGACTTCTCAAGAGACTTTTGCAGCTGCTGCTGCTGTTGCTGGGAAATGCTCATGGCCTGAAGGGTCATCTGCTGGGCCTGGAGGAAGGAATTGCAATGTCCATGAGCTCCAGGCTGCACAAAACCACCAGCCCTCAGTCAGACTGTCCCATTCTTTCGCTCGGTAATGACAGAACATCTACATAGTGCACTGCAGATTTCCCAGGGTAATGGAGAGGGAGTCTGCTCCCACCTAGCCAGGGATGCAGAGCTCATAACACCTCCCCAAAATTCAGCTACCAGGTAACCTGGGACCACCATGCACTTACAGAGCTTTGTACAGAGAGCAGAACGCTGCAGATCTGCATCTGTAGCAAATCCCATGGGAATTACTGCTGAGTCTTCTCAGGGCCTGCTCTTGACCCTGCTACCGCTGGTGCCTCAGTGGCCCCACGGAAACAAAGGGGCAGTTTTGCAGTCTTAAGTAACCCCAGCTTTACAGAGCTCACCCCCAGCTCCCAGGCAGTGTCACAGGGCAGGCCTAAGGCAGGAGGGGAGCAGGGCTCCCCCTCCATGGCACACACACCACTGTGTTGTTCTCCCCCGTTCCTGGGCCCCTCCCAGCCAGTCCCTCCCACTCACCATGAGCATGGCTTGCTGGTTGATGAAGGCTTGCTGCTGTGCTGCCAACTGGTTGGGATCCAGAGCTGGAACCACGGGCTGGGGCATAACCATGGCTGTGGAGGACACACACACATCTGCAAGAGCCCAGGGGGGATTGTTCCCCACAGTGTTTGAGCATCAGCCAGGAGGGGAGTGTTCACTGAGCCTCCCACCCGACACTGAAATGCTCAGGCCCCACTGACACCCCCTTTCCATCCCTTCCCTCTATAGCCACCCAAACACTGCTGTTACCTGGCATGGGTGCGATCCCACCAGCCCCTGGCACCATGGGCATGGCTGCTGGCACCCCCATCACGGAAGGCATGGGCTGGTAAACTGGTGCTTGAGCCACTCCAGGGAAGCCTAGAGGCAAAAGACCATGTGGCACAGAGCTTTTGGGGAGTCAGGCCCTGAGCACTCCCACAGAACACAGTCACCTCTGGGGCTCTCCACGTGCTGCAGCCACAGCAGGACACAGCAAAGCTCAGGTGGGAAAAGAAAGCCTAAGAACAGTGGGTGGCCTGACAGACTTTGAACAGCAGCATCCAAACCCTGCTTCTGCAGCCTGGCTTAGGACACCACCATCCTTAAACATGTGAATAATTCCTGCCTGTGTGCAATCACATAGGAGGGTTTTTCTTGAGGGATGAGCAAAGATCTCTGGGACTGTCACATCCATATTGGTCTCTTTGCAGCAAGGGTGGGTGAATGACAAGTCCTGGCCTGGATGGCATTGTGTGTTGTGGGGAGAAAGGAATTCCTCTTCTCTCAGCAGGCAAGTCCCATATGGGGCCACAAAACAAATCCCACTGAGGGAAACAGCAGCAGAGCAAGGGGCAGCCAGGAGGGAGTCAGCACACAGCACAGGCCTGCTGAATCATGTCCTCTCCAGTGAGAACGGCCCTGGGATGCCATGGGAAGATCATCACATCCCTCACTCATCTAAGTAGCCACATAAATGGCAAACTGACCTCAGGCCAGTGATTTGTAACAGTCCTTGTCATGCCCCAGAGCCTCTTCAATAGCCCCAGTCTCAGTAATGACTGAACTGGATGTTCCCCACCTGTCTGAACCTGCTGGGTGTGTTCCCACCCATGCAGATTTCTCAGTGCCATTGATATACTGGTGTTTGACTCCACCCTGGTGAAAATGCCTGAGTCTTGGCTCCACAGAAAGGAGGAAGAGTAAAGAAACCAAACACACACATCAGAACCTCTGCAGGGTTCAGACTTACTAACCCAGGGAATAGCTACAGATGATGGGAAATTCTGTAGGGAAGCAATAAGAAAGATTAAAACCCTCCCCTGATACAGGCACCAGCTATTTTGTGAAAGCACAAGGCGAACAGAAGGTGAATACACGACTTGCCTGGGGGAAGAGGTGGCCTGGGTCAGAAACAAGCCACCTGCTCCCTTGACCCCCAGACCAACTCAAGAGAGAGATTAAAAGCAGAGCAAAGGTGGTTCCCTTGCCTAACACCTTCCCCAGAACATCTGGCTCCCAGCACCTGCAAGTGAGGAGTGCAACTTCTGATGACCTGCACTAAAGACCAGTGCTGTTCATGAACCAGCTGGGTCCATGCAATAATTAGCATTTAAGGGGCTCTCTGGCTTGTGCTGACTGAAGCTCATGCAGCCCCACAGGTGTTCCCAGCTGTTCCCATCCCCTCACACACCTGCAGAAGGAAGGATTCCTCTCCCAGTGGGTCCAATCTTCCCACCTCCTTTCATGCGTCCAGTGAGAATGTCCCTGTTCTCCAAATCCTGCATCAAGAAAAAACAGAGCTCAGGGAGGGAGAGACATCCTGAGGCAAGTCTGAGCTGAGCAGAGGCAGTGAATAGGCAGAGAAATGCTTGAGGGAGTCACAGGGACAGGAGAGCTGCAGAGGGAAAGTAGGAGGGGACATCAGGGGACTTACTGGCAGTCTGGAGCCCTGATGCAGCACAGGGCTGAAGAGATCATCCACATAGTGATCCAGGCCTACAGGGGTCCCCAGGTCATCTCTAATCCTTGGATCTAGGAGCAGAGAGAAGTCAGGTGAACAAGGAAGGTAAGGAACATTCCCCTGCCTCCAGTCCATGTTAGACAGTCATGTTTTGGAGTGTAGCCCTTCCTTGCTCTCCATCAACAAGAATCACCTGACTCCCCCTCTGCTTTGATTCCCTTGCTGGGGCCCATCTGGCCCTTCCCGGGGTCATCCACAGTCCTGGGCTAAAGGTTACCTGGATAGAGATCCATGAATTCTGGAGGCAGGCTAGGGGGTGGGAAGGCAGGGGCCTGGATGCCTGGAGCAGGAGGGATCCTGTTGAAGGGGAAAAGGACATGAGGAGCAGAAAGATGAACCACTGGGTGACAGGGCCACAAGCAGTGGGGCAGGAGGAACAGGTGACTTACGAATCCAGGTCAGAGAACTGGTAGGTGCTCCTGTCGCTTTCTGAAGCGATGGGGAACTCAGCTGGGGACTGGGAAGAGCTGCTGAAGTTGCTGGTCTCCTCCATCTCTCCAATGAGGTCCAGCACAAAGTCACAGCCCAGCAGGTCCTGCCATGTGTTGCCAGTTAACATGGAGACAGACCACCCTCGAGTCTTCTTATCACAGCCCCTGGTCACAGGGAAAGGAAGGAGAGGAAAGGTGTCCAAGTAGGCAGAGGAGAGGGAGAAGAAGGAAAAGATTGCATTAATTTCTTCTTGCTTTGTCTATCCTGGCTTGAGTCCTTTAGATTTATGGTGTGAACCAACTATTAAGTGCTCAGGGTCAGGGGGAAAACAATCAAACAAACAAAACACAACTAGAATAATTCAAGATTTGTTCTCTTCTGGTTTGTTTTTGTTTTTTTTCTTTTCATTTTTTAAAGAAGCTGCTCTAAGAGATCACAACAGTGATTCCTCTGTTCCTAAAGAAGCCCACAGTGTGTGCACACAGATGGAGGGTGAAGGAGAGAGCACAAGGTGGAGTGGGTAAGGAGCGACTATTCCACATAAATTCCAGCCTGCAGCCCCAACCAGTCTGAACCTTAGAACCAGTGACAGCCTCTTTCACACCCCCAGACCTTCTCCCATCCTCTGGCAGTACCTTGCACTTAGGATCCAGGCTGCAAGCTGCTCCCCAGTCATCCAGGACTCCACCTCAGCTGAGAACGTCTCCTCTGGCACAGAGAAGAAAATCAGTCTCCACAGCCTCCCTGACAGGACCCAAAGCAACCTCTGCACTCCACGGGGGCAGAGCCCAGCTGGGAAGTCTCACGCACTCCTGAGCAAGGGCTGCATAAGGCAATATTTGAGAAGGGAGGAAGGCAGAAAGTCCCTGCAATAAATTGCTGCTGCTGGGCTGTGCTGTAATGGGTAACAGCAAAACCAGACCCAGAGAGATGCACAACCAGAACAGCCAGCCCTCTGTGAGATGGGCCCAGAAGAATCTCATCCCTCAGCCTCAGTAGAAGATCCCAGCAGGCTCAGACTTCCCAAGTTTTGGGTCTAGATTCACATGCTTGTATCCCCCATGGCTGCACCAGCCAGTAGCAATCAGTGTTCAGATCCCTCTTTAGTAAGCTAAGGAAAGTATTTTCCAAATGCTGATTGCACTGAAAAAGCCCCTAGGGACTAGAAAACAGCAGGAGGGCCAGAAGCATGAGTTACCATTAAAGGTATGAACATCCAGCACCATCTTCCCTCTCCTCTGGTTTGCTGTCCACTCCAGCTGAGTGGGAGGGAAGGCCCGAGAGGATGCAGAGCCCGTCTCTGCGTGCTGTGCCGCCGTCAAGATCTTGCGCTGGCAAACGGCGTTGTAGCCCTCCAAGCCATGGTCTGACACAAACCTGGGGAAAGGCAACTGCCTTGAGCACTCTGCTCATCCCTCTAACCCCAGTGCAGGCGTGGGTTGGTCTCTTCTCCCCCTTACTTCAGCAAGGGCTTCTCCAGCACCGGCGAAGGCGCAAAGCAGCTCAGCAAAGCTGCCATCAGGACCCAGGCCCGCTGGCTGTGCTCCACGTCTGGGTTCTTCCATGTCTGGGCAAACCAGCTGGCTGAAGATCTCGTCGCGCAGAGCCGCGTTACTCAAACCTCTGCCAGCGATGTAGTTGCCCAGGAGCACCTCCTGCCAGCCGTGGAGGCTCTTGTCACCAATGAACCGCAAAATCTAGAGCAGTCCAGGGGGGAAAAAGAGAGAGAGCTGGAGCTGTAATCTAATCCTTCATCCCAATATGCTGTAATGTGACAGCCTGGGTTGTGGACACCAGGGTGCTTGTGAGCCAAAGAGTAGGCACAACTCAGATCAGGGTCTGTTCTCATGTTTTTGTGCACCACCCAAGTGCTGGGGAATTTGGGAGGCAACGTTTGTAGAGACTGAACCCTGACTAAAAGCCAGGGTGACTTCAAGTCTCTTCTTACTTATGACTCAGAATTTGGGCAAAATACTTCCCCTTCTTTGGGCAGGGCTTAGATACACAACGGAATTACCACAGGGTATTTGTTACTGAGCCCACTGACTGTTGAAAAGACTTTGGTATAGTTAATGTTATACTACGTAGTATGAGAGGTGGTGTCTCAACAGAGTCACTGAAGCAATGATTCAGCTTCTTGGCTATGCATATCAATATCTTCAATGCATATCAATATTTTCAGTGCTTTTGCATTTTCGATTTCTCACCCTCAGGTGCAGAATAATTTCTTTCATCCTCTACACTTCAATATAACATTAATTACAATATTTCCAAAATGTGCCATGGACAGCTTTGGACAGAACATTTAAGAGTGACAACACTTCTAGAAACAGTTAATGGTACTAAGCGTGTCAGAGACTCAGTGAGAAAAACAGGGGATGATGGTTGTTTAATTCTCATGGAAATCTTTGCAGTAAATCCCTACTTCATTGGCAATGGAGAAAAATTGCCTTTGATCTCCAGGAAAAGTAATAGTAATAGTATTCTGCTTAAACACAACCCTGTTCACAAGATTTTATTGAAGCTTACGCTCTTCTATAATTGGGATCATGAGGACAAAACAAGAGACTGGGTTTAGGTATTAACTTTCTTAATGGGCTTATTTTAATTCTATGTAATTCTCAAAAGGATTACCAGATTTACTTAGACATTATCTGGAGTTTCATTCTATTCTCAAATATTTCAACTGTTAAGAAAATGTAAAGAAAGATCTGTTTCACGTCCACAGAGTAGCAACAACACCATCCCCTTCACACAAGCAGTTGGGGTGTGGTTCCAGGTGCAGCTTTCCTGATGACAAAGTCCTGCCCTTTTCCAGCCTTTATATGACAGTTCACTGTCCCCTGTCGAGTGACACAACTGTGAGCCTGAGATGCAATCGATATATTTACTATAAACCACAACGTGGAAGAGACGTGGGTTAAATCATATTTTTTATGACTGACAGATGAGTAAGTGGTTGAGAAGACAGACCTCCCTTACACTGTCATTGCTACTGAATCTGGACTATCAGGAAACTAAGGCTCAGCAGTTTGATTCCTATATGTCCTGCCAAATTCTGAGGCTACATCACCAGATAGTTCACTCTGATCCCAGTGGTCTGTGGTTGGTCTGTGCCTCACCAAGAACACAGCAACCCCAGAGGGCTGACTGTGATCTCTGCCAGGCTGCTGCAGGGCCTGGGAGGAGAAATTTATTCTGTTTTTCCAGCCTTGTATCATAAGAACAGTATCCACCACCGGCAACTTGTTGCGTGAAGGCACCACAATATTGTCAGAGCCCACCCGTTCTTCAACAAGGCCAAGAACAACGTCTCTTACCAGTTTGTTGATCTCAAGTGCACTCTCGTGGTGTTCAGCACCCAGATGGGTTAAGGGGTGATGCAGAGGCTGACCAAGGGCAGGGAAATCTGGCTTCTACAGAGAAACAACGGGACAGAAACAGAGTTTGCTCCTGGCGCTGCTGGAACCGGTGTGTCTGCCCAGTGGGGGAGCAGTGAAGAGGTAGAAAAGGAGTTCCCAACCTGGAAGTGTGACTTCACGAAGGAGGAGAAGGGATAGCTGTTGATGGTGGATGGGAGGGAAAGGTCATCTTTGACCTTGACCTCTGGAGGCAATGCCTCGGTTATCTGGTTGGCCTGTGCTCGGTGTCGACCTGCAGGAGAAGGAGGTCTGGTGTTGTGGCAGGTGGGAGACAGAACACACACGGCTCACACAGCCACACGTGGCCAGCCTGCATCTCACCCCACCTCTGTGCCAGCCCCTGGCTCCAGGGACACCCAGCCCACCCCTGCTGCCTCAGACCCCCAGGCAGGCACAGCCTCACACCTTTGAGACCACAAGGCTTCACTTCAGGGGAGAGATTTTACAGCTCTCATCTTTCAGACCTTTTTCCCCAGGGAGCACCAAGAGGGCAGGGAGCACGTGGAGATTCGATTCTGTTCTGCAGCATTTACAAGGCAGGAAACACTGAGCTCATGCTGAGATCCTGCTGTTAACTGCTCGGTCAACAAGTACATGAGAGGTCTTCAAGATGAGGGAGTTATCAGGGATAAGAGAGGAGTAAACATCTTCCTAAGGGAAGGGATTTCTCAGTGCAGCACAGCTCCTGTGCATTCCTCTTTCTAAGCAAATGTGTCCCTGGATGCTCTCCTCCTCCTTCTCCCTGTTTACATCTCAGCAGCTTTCATTTCCAGCGGTTTCAGTGTTCCCTGAGCTCCCCTGGGTTGCATTGCTCACTAGACAAGCTGATAGTCCCTAGAGGGCTGTGCCATGAAGCGTGAGTTATTTGGGAATCCAGCAGAGTCTGCTCCAGCTCACAGCTCTTCTGGCTGATTGTATCCCTTCCTGGACCTCACAGAGGGCCAGAGGCACCACTGGCATTTTGTTTGACACTACAGTGACAATAAAGAGGCAAATCCTGCCTCAACCTATTTGCAACTTCAATATTCACATTGCACAAAGAGCTACAGAGGAAACAGAACTGCATTGTTACATCCCAAGTTGTCAGACTGTTGCCTCACTAAGTTGTTACGCTGCTTCCCCTTCCTTCTGTTTTAAAAGAAGTAACTACTTTTGAGGAAATAATTTGAACTATGCCCAAAAATATTTTTTGAAATTGCCAAAACTGCAGGTTTCTCTTCTTGACCTTCAATGTCCCTAAATGTTTTTGAGTAGATAAAAGGTGGGTTTAAGTTCTCCTACCCCAGATATTCAGGTCTGCCAGAGACCTGAGTTCAGGGAGCGTTTTGCTGTCCCATAACTTTGATCAAAGAGTTCTGCACCATCACGTCATCAGTTCTATCAGCCCAGCTCAAGAACAGAAAAGTGAACAAATACACTGATTTTTAATCTGTGTGTTCTGCCCCCTGGCCCGAGGTACTTTCCCACCCAATTGTGCTGGGAAACAATGTTCACGGTGCCATTTGCCTTTATCATGTTTGTTCTGCAATGATCATAAATCAACTCCAACCTGGGTGACAGGCAGCAGGTAGAACGAACACACACTGACACTGCCATAAACAAAGAAATACACAGGGAAGTGAAACAGTGCAGGGAAGGGAGGGAGGGCAGGAGGGAGGATTTCTCACCTTCAACAAACTGCAGGAGGGCTGCGAGCTCTGCAGGGATCTCCAGCAGCCCCACGTCCTGCAAGAGAGAGAGGCAAATCAGTCACTGGGCTGCCAGCAAAGGACCCACAGAGAAACCCTGGGCTGTGCTGCTGGGACTGGGTGAAGCTGCCTGGGCTGAGAGCATCTGAGCCAAACCAGCAGTTTCTGCCACTCTCACAAGTGTTACAGAGAGGGAAGGATCACAGTAACACAGGGTGTGACGTGGGCCCTCGAAGGAGGGAAAGGTGAGCAATTCCTAAATAAAAAAAAATCAACTGCTACAAAGAGAATGACAGGAAAGCTGACTTTCATTGACTCATCTCTCACTGCTAACAAGTCTGGCATCTTGCACAGGAGGGGTTGCAGCTGAAGGGTAGGGGCCGTTTCCTGCTGTGCCTGTTTCCTGGCATTTTTAGTTCTGTTTTTCAGTATCCAAAAGTGGTACTAGCATAAATAAACAGAGACCTGACTCTGATCTTTGATGCACAACACTGTTTTGGAGTTTCCAAAGGAAACTCAGATCAGTGCCTGGGTAATCCAGATGAGAATATGGCAAATAAGCCTTGGGTTTTTTCCCTGTTTTGCACCTCACATGATGGTCGGAATAAACGAGCCAATGCAACACTGTGTCAGCACCACTGTCTGCATCTCACATCAGTTCAGGGCATTTCAGACAGAACTACTCAGATTAAGGCACTATGAAGCCAAGCCAAAGACACAAAGCATGAGCTTCAGAGGTTTTTTTGTGGGTTTTTTTGAAGATCTGCATAGTAAAGTCTCTTGTCACCATCACACTATTCTGACATCTCTCTCCATTTAATCCCTCAGTGATGCTTAAAGAAACATTCACAGCTTTTTGGATCAGTTTGATTTTGCTCATAAGAAGATACTTGTCTTTAAGTCTGGTTTTTCAGTGGTGTATTCAGGAAGTGGACTGTGAAATTCCTGGATCCACCTGAGGAAGCAGGTGATATTGCAAGAGCACCCTAAGTGTTCCTGTTGTTACTGACAAATCTGTCCAGAATTGTGGATGATGTCAGTTCAGGTTCTCTCATTACACACCTCACAGCAAACATGTGCCCGGTCTAAACACACAAATAATGACATTAGTTAGCAGTGTAAATACAGGCTAATCTTCTTATGAAGCCTTTAATACATCCCTTCCTCTACAACATCTTCTGTAAATGTATTTATGCAAAACGGTCTCATTCCCGCCCTTCACAACAGAACATGATCATCAAAAATAATCTTCCTCCCAGCTCCAAAGAACAGGTCCAGTGCTCTCAACAAAGACAGGGCTCTGCCTCAGGACCACTTTGTGATGCCTGGTTATGCCCAGGGTGTGGGAAACACTGAACTAATGAGATATTTATGTGTTAGAAGGCTCTCTATACCAGTCTAACCTGCATTCTTGCTGCAAGGCTTCCAGCATGCATGTGTACACCCTCCAGACATCCAGCAGACCTGGGCTGAGGAGGCATGAGGAAGGCAGAACGCCTGGATAACCTGGCTTGTCATCTCAGAGTCTCCCAAAACCTCTTGACAACTCACCATTCCTTGGTTGGGACTGTCCTCTGTGTCACCACTGGCCAGGGATCTCTGTCTTCGTTTCCTTTCCTCTAACTCCTGCTGTTTGGAGAGGAAAAGGGGATAGGGGGTGGGAGAAGATGTATATGAAGTCACTTTCAGCAACTTCTGAGGGCAAAGGCTGTGGGTGGAAAGGAGATGGTGTCCTGTTCCAGCAGATAAAATGACAGAACAGCTACAGAGCCTTCCTGGGACCCCACACAGGCAAAGCCCTGAGCTCTGCTGGAACATCACCTGCCCTGCACAACACAATCCAACAGCGAGAGCCTCCACCACCTGCCCAGCATCCTGCCACACCTTCCCTCCCTTGCTGAGCATTTGATGTGTCCCAGGACAAAAGCACACAGGAGCTGTCAGAAACCTTCACCTGCCTCCTCCGGCATCAGAGAGCACGAGAGCACAGCCTGAACACGGGTGGATGGACTTATCCACGGAGAGGAAACCCTTCAGGAGAGGCAGGAGGGAGACCAAAAGCCAAACTCCCCTGCAGCTCTGCCCTTTCCCATCCATTCTGTTGTTCCCCAGCCTTGTCACTCACCTGGAAAAGGAGGGTCTCTGTCTCTGCCTCTCTCTCTCTCTGCTGCTTGTCAGTGTTGCAGATCAGTGTGAGTGGATGGGAGGTTATGAGGGTTGGGCTGAGAAAGACAGTGACATGCTGAAGTCCAAAGGGCAGGGCTGAGGGGTGGGGGGAAAGGAGGAACTTTGCAGCAGGTGAACTTTGAGACCTTTGTTGTTGCTCCTGCGTGTACAGAGAACTCGGCAAGCAAACAGTGAAGTAACAGAAAGGGATTCAAAGGAGCTGTGCTGTTGTGGTTACCTGGGAGAAAGAAGCCTGGGTCCTGTCCAAGTAGGAGGGCAGAAAACAGAATAGAAACTCACACTGTTCTGGGCATGGCATGGCAGAAGGCACCTGTGCAGCCTCCCATCACTCTCCTCTACCCTCTTCCCCACCCTCTGTTAGCCATGCCAGCAGGGACGGCAGTTATGGGGATAGTCGATGGGGATGTTAGTGGCTACTCTAAGCATGAATGGTCTGATTTCATGTTTTTAACTTCCTTTTTAATGGCTTGTGCTGCAAAATATATTCTACACATTTGACCAGCCATGGTTCTCTCCTGCACACAACTCTCCATCTTCCTCAACAAGCTGCCATCCTGTTCTCACTCCACCTGATTTCCAAAAGGCCAAGGACTTGAGCAGTCTGATGTTAAGGGATCAGGGGGGATCATCGTGGACTGAAAAAATCTTGCATTTCATCACCATCTGGGAAAACACCAGAAATTGAACTGGGCAACTAAAAGAGCAAGGTGAGTGACTCCTCATAGCCTGAGCAGAACTCAGAGCAGCCCTGAAGACCCCAGATGGAATCAGCTCTTGTCTGGTGTGCGGCAGCCCAGAGGAGGTCACGTAGCCAGACACACAACTAGGATGTGTTTGTACTAACTTTGCCAGTTCTGAATGTTGTCCAGGAAGAGAAGGCTCCAGTCTCTGTGTGTCCTTCATTTGACTACATTTATGTCAATCAGAGAGTGAAGGACATCTCGCTGGATCATTTCCAGCAAGCTTTCTAAAGCCACCCCTGCCCTGGCCTCACCCAGTCACCAGCTCTCTCTGCTGGGTGCAGAAACAGCTCCTTCCATACACCTTGTCCTGAGAAGAGTGTTGATACCTGGCAGCGCTTCCTCCTTTGAACCAAAGGTCTGGCGATTAAAATCATGGTGTTAAATTGCACCAAAGTCTTCTTCAGCCTCCTGTAACGCTTCCTAGAGGGATGAGGAAAGAGAAGAACCGGCTAACGGGGGAAGCATCAGCAACACACACACACATAGAGCAGGCCAGGAGCCAACATGAGGAGGGATCTGGCCAGGCACAGCCCCACCTGGCTGTCCTGGGCAAGGCCAAAGGGCTGTCCCTGGCCTGGCCTTTGACTCCTGACCTTGCCTGGTAGCCTCGGAAGTGAGCCTGAATGACTGTGACTTTCTCCTGGAGGACACGGAGGCGTCTGCGGTGAAGGAGGCACCGGAATTTCCTCTGCAGAGTAACAACAGCCCAGCTCTGCCTCTGGGTCCGTCGTCGCTCCAGCAGCTGCCTGGCCTTCTCCTTCAGAAAGACCTGGGCAAAGGCAGCAGCTGCTGACCCACGAGGGAAGCAGCAGCTTCCCTAAGGGCTGGTCAGTAATAACCTGGTCAGGTTTATCTCTTTGCAGCCTTTAAGGGTTCCTGCCATGGAAACTGGGGAGGGCAGGAGGCACAGGTGCAGTGGCAGAGATGGATGCATTTGGGGAGGACAGGGAATCGAGGAGTGGTGAAGGTCAGTAGGCATCACAGGGAGAAGCCCAGATCTCCATTAAGGAATGCTGGGTGTACCAAGGAGTTGTCCATGCTACTACAACAGCCTGAAGCCAGATTCTCCTGTTTATCTGAAATGCTAAAAATGCCTCCTTAGTACTTGAGACAAGAGGCAAAGCATGAGAGGGGAAGGCCTGAAACATCCTCTCCTTGGGATCCCCGTGCCTTGCCAGCCTGTGGATGGGTGGCTGGGCCTGTGGATTGAGAGGGGGTTCTCTGTAGGCATCACCTTTGTCAGTCCGATCTGATAGAGCTCCGAGGGGCTCCCCAGCACACGAGCCAGCACTGCTGCACAGCCTTCTCTGTCCTCCGGGCAGCTGAGCCCTCGCCCCGCCAGCAGCCCATACCTGGGAGATGAGGTGTCCATGTGACAGAGGCCAGGGCTGTAACTGGAGCCCGCAGAGAAATCACAGCGTGCTGACAAGTTCATCCAGGGCCAAAGTGCTGGGGAATCCCAATCCTGTACCTGGCCAGGAAGTTCTGGAAGGGAAGACGGATGGGGTATCCCTCCTTTCTGATGTGGATAGCCTCCAGTATCCCAGAATGGCGCAGCTGACAAGTGACATACTCCACATCAAAGATATTTGACAGCTGTGATGATAAGGCAGAAGAAAATTTAAAAACAAGAAATAAATAAATAAAAATTAAAAAAAGGAGACAGAAGGCAGGGAGTTTAGAAAGAGTCTCCTTCTATTGTCCTGTCCTGAGTTTAGATCTTGCCATGATCTCTGAGCAGTGAAATACAAAATCCAATGCATTGTTTGGTGTCCAACTGACAGTGGCTTCTGCTCCTCCAGCACAGGGTTAACTCACATGGCCACAGGGAAGGGGGGAAGACAGAGAAAGGGGAAGAAAAGTCCCAAAATACCAAATGAAACAAAGAAGTTCAAGTCCCAGCTGTGAAAGGAGAGTTGTTGGAGAAGAATAGACTTCAAGGAACTGAAGTATTCCATAAGGAACTCGGGGTGCTGCCCTACCTTTTTGGGATTAGGGGTGATGCACCGAATGAAGAAGGCATGGCTCCTGGAAAACAGAAGGAAGAACCTTTGATCACCCTCCTCTCTGTGCTGACCATGGAGGACTTCACACATTTCTGTGTGCAACAGCATCTCTCACCTTCTCAGCTTGGCTGTGAGGTCCTGCAAAGACTGCTGGAATTTGGACACCAGTGTGGAGGCCTGAGGCTTGAGCCCTTTGCCCCTCGGCCCCAGCTTCCTTTGCTGACTGTGGGCAGCTTTAGCCTTCTGGAAAATGTGAGACACCACCTGCAAAAACAAAGAAATGAACAAAATTCCCTGAACTACACGGAAAGAATGATCTCTTCTACCTGAAACTACCCCCAGGCAGTCTGTGCATTTTGTATGAAGTGCATCAAATATGGGCAAAGAGGACTTGCTCAATTCCCAAGTGTCCTTCAGTAAAACAGAACTCTTCATGGTTTCTCCAGGTTCTCCTGACACCTGATCAGGAACTTTCTGCCTCTCATGTGAGAGCAGTGAGTGGCTCATTTGGTGTCTGCAACAGAGGTCTCCCTCCTGAACCACTGCAGTACCTTGAGGCGGCTCTGAGAGAAGATGTCCAGCACCTCTGGACGCAGCTGGTCACGGTTTTTATTAAGAAACTTGTGGACCTGCAGAGGCAAAGTCTGGTTTAATGCACCATTCAGACCACTCAGACAGGCAAACACCCCTCCTACACACACCTTGACTGGGGGCATGCAGCTGGAAAGGGGATCGAGGCGAAAGCCCTGGAGAATGAAGCTGGCTCTTCCTGCTGCCACCAAGAGTGGAGGGGACAATGACTCCTGCTTTTAGGAGGGATTGCTCCTCTTCCCTTCTCATTGCCCAGCAGGCTTTGACCTCTCACAGCAATAGCTTTTCCTGGATTCCCAGGGCTCTGGGACAAGCAGTGCAGGCTGCTGTGTCGATGAGGTCAATAACTATTTTGCTTCTGCCCAGAGGCAGCTTAGTTGCTTCTCCTGATAAAATTCTCCTAATTTGTGATAAACTGATGCTCTAGGGGGATGTGGAGTTACTAGGGGAGGGTTTTGATCACAGGACTGGGAGCTGGTTCATCAGGACACTCCATCTGTTGCTCCATCTGCTCTGAGCCCCTGCCAGCTCACCTGGTAGGTGACAGGGCCTGCATAATGCTTCACAGTGAACACTGGCAAGGGCAGCTTGGGCTTGGTGTACCAGGGGCTGTTTCCATGATGGTAGTGACACTTCTGGAGGAAAGTGTGGTCTGTGGCCTGTAAAGGAGATGACAAACATTCCCTGTTACTGCAGCGTATTCAATAGACTGGAAAGCTGCTGTTAAACAAAAGGTAAAACCATCTAATACTGGTGCAGGCACAGTACCTGTTCAGTCTGGATAACAACTTCCCCATAATCATCCTGGGAAAGGGATCACACAAGAGGCCAACAGCTTCTCACCTGAGTCAGTGATGTCTGGTCATCCAGGATACACAAGAGGCCGTGGGGCTTTGCAGTGAGGAAATCGAGGCACGACTCGCTGTACATCTTGGAAATAGGAATCCAAGCTAACTGCTCTTGGCTGTATTCCTCCTGCATGTTAAAGAGCAAATCCAGCCATGCAGACAAGAGCAAATGGAGAGAGATTTGGTTTGTTCATCAGAAAGCTGGTGTCCAACTGCTGTTAGAAACTTGCCTAGAATTATCTGGTTTTGTCTTGTGAAACTTCCTCTAAAGCCACTAATGATTGTCCTAATTTAAGAGAGGAAGGCTGATAAGCAGAGTGGTAAAGTGAACTGTAGAAGGCAACAAATCTGACAAATACACTTTCACTCCCAGTACAGAAGTGGTACATAAAGTGCTACAAAGAAACCAAACAGGCTTTAGAAGTACTGGCTGAGGTCTGGGATCCTTCACCCTGACCAACTCACTCATAAAATCTGCAAAAGAGAGCAAGGCACTAAAACACTCTCATTCCCTTAATTTTACCTTAATTTACTAGAGAATTAGTAAAATATATTAAATAGGTTTATTAAACAGGTTTATTCAGCTTCCTATTCACTGCTAAAGGACACTCTCCAGCTGAAAATGCCTCAAGTTCATTCCATATATGCTGCCCTAACATATTGTGGGAGTTCCATCGAGTTCCATTTACCTCTTCCTGGGCAATGACAGTCTGACTGAAAAACTGCTGGAGGTGCTCATTGGCAAAGTTGATGCAGAGCTGCTCCAAGCTGTTCACCCCGAGATCCTGCAAAGGCAAAAAGGATAACCCTTTCCAACACCCAGCCCAGCCAGGGACCTGTGGCTTCCTGCAAATGCTGCACAGCCCCAGCTGGTGCTGAGCTGAGCTGCTGGTTCAGGCAGCTGGTTCTGATCAGTGTGAATGAACCTGAGAAGTTCAAATCATCTTCTGTCTGGTTTGCAAGCTCTCAGCCTGGTTTACTGACTAGGCTGAACAGCAAGAGGCATGAAGAAGAAGAGATCTCTTGGTTGCACAGCCCCACCTGCACATCCCATTGTTTTCATCATTCCTTGGGACACAAATTTTAACAGGAGTCCTAAGTAGAAACCTCAGAGGTGTTGAGGAGCACTCACAGCCCAGCCCATAGCAAAAGAACAGGCAAAGTAACCTCAAAACCATGGATGTCCACAATTCCCACGGCACAGTCTGATTCCCAGGGAGCCAACCACTCGTTGATCCTCAGCAGCAGCCACTCAAAAAGTAGATAGTAGAGAGTCTTGGCAATGGAGTCCCTGAGGGGGAGAAGGCAATTAAACCAGTTACTGCAAAGACTCTTGAGAGCATCTCACCAACCCAGGCAACAGCAGAAATCACCTGGCTTCGATGGCTCCTTCTACAGACAGAGGGGTGAAGATCCGATCATAAGATGTCACCTGGATACATAAAGAGCCAGAATTTACCGTTATTAACTCACAAATACTTTTTTTTTTTTTTTAAATCTACAAGGAAATCAACCCAACTAATAAATTGATTGATTTGAGGGGTTTTTTTCTGTTTGGCCTGAGAATTTACCCAGGTATCAAAGGCAAAAGTAAGCCGAGAATTTTGCTGCCTCATTTCTGGGGGTGACTCAGCTGGCCAGACTGATAAGCCTGAAGCCACCTCATGTCAGCAAAGAGCCCTCCTGGGTGTGAGCTCTGATGTCTTTACAGAGCTGCCTTGAGGGATTCAGTTCATTCCAACCATTTTACTTCTTCTGTTCCCTCCCAGATTTTGGGCCTTCTAAGGTGGTGGCCCTTCTGCTGACAGAGCACTAGACATCCTGTGCTTCAGGATGAACAAGAACTCACCAAAAAGTACTCACAGTGACACGGTGAGTGACAGCACTTTGCAGGAAATCTGCTGAGACACACAACAGATTGGCCACAATCTGGATCTCAGTGTCACTGGCAATGGCAGCGTGTTCGTAGGATTCTTTCTAAATAAAAGAGAACAGATTCATCTGTGGATGGGATACAAGTCCCACTAGTGCTGATATTCTCAACACCATCTCAGCTGCACAGAGCTGGTCACAACAACACCTGGGTAAAGCACCAGGTTTATTTTGGCTCCTCAAAGAGCCACTCCAGTTCTAATGACCTTTGCTTGCTTCCCATTTCTGTCCCTGCCTGGATCAGTCCAGAGCCCAATACTAAAAGAACAGAAGAGTCTTCAGTCAGGAATAATGTCCCTGGTCCCACCACATGG